ACTGATGCTCAAAGAGGGAAAGTAACTTGACCAAGGTCACAGGGTCAGTGGGGCCTTATGAAAACCCAGGGAAGTCCCACATCACAGCTCCTGCTGGGCCCACAGCGGTCCTGTGCACCATCCTGACGTCCATCTTGAGACTTTTCCTTTCACAGAGGGATAATTACCTCAATTCTTTCCCCAGGTCACCTCATGAGAATCCAGGAGGGAAGTTGGCTCAACTCTTCACCTCGTGCCTCTCCTTGCCCCCTACGCAGTGCCCTCTCCTCCCTATTCCCCGGTGCCTTGCACCTTCGCCCAGGCCCTTCTAGCCTTTCTCTCTCCTCTTCCTTCCCGTGTTTCCTACCTAGTCCAGAGCACCGAGCAACCCCAAAGTATTAAGAAAGAATCAGACTTGGTTTAAAGGTTGGCCGTTTGGGCTGCTTGTTGTTTTGATGGAGGGGCAGAGGAAAGGAACCAAGCTTTCCCTCCAGGCTTTGGTATGTCGGTGATGGCTTTGCCTGGAGTGCTCGCAACAGGGAGACTGCTCCAGGCCTGCAGTAATCTCTCTTTTGTAGGCTGTGCCCACAGAATTAGTGCGCACCTAGGAAACAGACTGATCCCCTAATATTCTCTTGTTGTATGTGGATATATTCCAATGGATTACCACCACCAGCCAGCCACTCACCCCAGCTGAACCAAGGTGTGTTCCCCACCTCACCCATCACAGAGCCCAGCACACCAGTTTTCGTGTTTTCCTAATGACAGACTCCTTGGCTGACCTTGTAGTATAGAGAGACCACTCAATATATATCTGAAAGATGGCACCAAATCTACTCTTGGCTCCTGGAGCTGATGTTCCTAATGCTTTTTATTTTGTTTTGTTTTTTCACTACCAGAGATTGAATCCAGGGGTGCTTAACCACTGAGCAACATCCCCAGCCCTTTTTATTTTTTATTTTGAAATAGGGTCTCTCTAAGTTGCCGAGACTGGCTTTGAACCTGCCACTGGGATTACAGGTGTGTGCTACTGCGCCCAGCCCCTTAATTATCTTTGTTAATTCCCACCACAAACCTGGACAGCACTGATCCCTAACCACAACCAAGCAAATGCAAAATCAGAAAGGTAACTTGCTTCAAGGTAAGACAGTGAGTAAAGGGCAGGAATGGGATCGGAAGGCAGGTGTTCTGGGCCACACAGCACTATGGCATGTGGTATCCATTGGTGTGTTGCATCTGTACAAGACTGAGACTCCCGGAGGTGGATACCAGGTTTGGGTTCCCCACAGGCCTTAGTATAGAACCCTACATACAGCAGTTGCACAGTATATGTTTGCTCAGTAAATTGTTGGAGGAAGTTTACCCTGATTAGCGATTGGTGAGAACCAGCACTGGGGAAAGAGGAAATGTTTGCACAGTGATAAGTCCTGTGTGCCTGATGGTAAACCTCATGCCCCAAGCCAGGGACAAGGAGCAGGAGGTGGGCACAGAGTGAGGGCTCGTGAGATGCCTTTCCCTGACAAGGGCTGAGGGAAGGATTAGGGATGACCAAGGGACCAGGAATGTGGTGGCAGGTGGAAGGTCGGCTATCAACTCCCATGGTATCTATGCCTACAGGTCCCTCCACCAGAGTAATGGGCAAGGGGAGGGGGATTGGGGTTTAGGAAACCCTGGGGCACATATAAGATGGAAGAAGTTCCCTTCCGTAAGAAGAAGTAGAATTTTGATTCAGATTGAACACTCCTGAAAAGTGGACACTTTCTTGGGTGCAGGGTGACAGGGGAGGTGGGCTCCAAGCAGAGGCTTCAAATCCTCACCCCACACTCACTGGCTGTGGGATTTCGGGTAAGATGCTTAACCATCCGACCTTCAGTTTCCCTATCCACTAAGTGGGAGATAACAATAGCACATGCATTTACCATTGTCATAAGGGTGAATAAGTAAAGCATGAACAGTCATTTCAAAGTATCTGCAGGCGACTGGCTCCAGGACCTCATTTCATGTAAAGTGCTGTAGTATTTGCACAGAACCTACTACATCTTCAAATCATCTCTAGATTACGTATAACACCTAATGTGATGTAAAAATGCTATGCAAATTGCTGTGATACTGTATCATTTAGGAAATAATGGTAAGGGAAAAAGTCTGCACATGTTCAGTACAGATGCAATTTTTTTCTAGTATTTTCCATCCATGGCTGGTTGAATCTACAAATATAGAATCTGTGGATATAGAGGGTTGATGGTACTGATCTTAGCACAGTTTCTAGAAGAAAAAAAGATTCTACAAAGCCACTGCCAAACTGTTCTATTTCATGACAGCTTAAATTTACTGGGTGTATGTGGCAAAGTCTCTTTGAAGGCTTTCCCAGTTCTTTTTATTTTTTTTATTTCCAGACAGGGCCCTGCTATGTTGCTGAGGCTCTGCTTGAGCTTGCCATCTTTCTGCCTCGGCCTCCTGAGCTGCTGGGATTACAGGTGGGCTCCACCATGCCTGGCTGTTATAAGTCTTTTACATGCTTTATTTCTCAAATCTTAGGAAGTAGACACTCTAATCAACCTTATTTAGACAAGGAAGCAGACACAGAAAGTTCAAGTAACTAGCCTGAAATCACACAGCTGGCGGATGGCCAACCTTGGATTTGGCTGGTATCAGAACTCAGGCATTCTGACTCAAGAACCATACACTTAAATCTTGCCTTCCATCAGCTTTTTTTAAAAAAGTAATACATCTTGAGACACAGCAGGAACAGGTTCTGGAGTTCACAGCATGGCACAGGGTGCTCAACCTCCAGGTGCATCTGCATTCCCCAGGAAGAGGATTTAAAATGCACACCCCTGGGCCCAAATCTTGATTTGTAGGCAGAAGTGATGTTATGGGGCTAGAGGGAACAGAAATTACTATTTTTAACTGGGTAATTTTGCTGCAGGTAATCTAGAGGTAGGGATAGAAGACATGGACAGGACAAGAGTCCTCAGTTGTCCTGTTGGGAGAGACCATGTCTGTATGGTGTGAGGTGGTAAGAACTCCTCCACCAGGTAGCATTTGCCCTGGGCTTTAAGGTCGGGTAGGGTCTGTACATATCTTTCCCCACTTCTCCATTTGAAGACTAGATGGGGTTGAATTATATCCTCCACAAGATTGTGCTGAATTCTTAATTCCTGGAAACTGTGAAGGTGGCTTTATTAGGAAAAAAGGGTTTTGGGGGATGTGATTAAGTTAAGAATCTTGAGGTCATTCTGGACTATTTGGATGAGTTCTAAATCCAGTGACAAGCGTCCTCAATACAAAGAGAACAGACAGAGAGAAGAGAGAAGACAAGCAGAGATGAGAGTCACAGATCCACGAGAAGCTGAAAGAGGCAAGAAGAAGTCCCCCTGGAGTCTTCAGAAAAAATGCATCTCACCAACACCTGACTTCAGACTTCTGGCCTCCAAAACTGTAAGAGAATATTTTTTAGATGTTTTTGGGTCTGTTTTTTTTTTTTTTTTGAAAGGGGTACCAGGGATTAAACTCAGGGACCCTTGATCACTGACCCACATCCCCAGCCCTATTTGTATTTTATTTAGAGACAGGGTCTCCCCGAGTTGCTTAGTGCCTCATTAAATTGCTGAGGCTGGCTTTGAACTTGTGATCCTCCTGCCTCAGCCTCCCAAGCCGCTTGGGAGCCACCACCCGGCCTTTTCAGATGTTTTAAGCCACATGTTTGTGGGAGTCCTAGAAAATGACTATAGAAGCTTTTGTCCCAGTCACACAAGTCTCCCTGGGGAGGTCTTTAAGCACGGACTCTGCTCTGTGGAAGTCACAGCCTGCAGCCAGCCAGGACACCAGGCCCTGGAAGAGGATGGCAAGCACCATGTTAGTGAGGTTTGGTCACCTTTATGAACCTGCTACTTCTCTACTTCTCTTGGGATGTGGGTTTGCAAGAAGTCAAAGAAAGGCTCTGTCCTCAGTCTCTGGCTTCACATTTTAGCAAGGGGATAGTCAAATCCAGCATAAATACCAGCCCAAGGTCACCAAGTGAAATCATGGTGGGACAGAGTCAGATCTCCATCTAAAGCACATGTGTCCACACCAGTCCATGCCATTAAGCTCTGGTTGGGATAAAGCCATAATGTCATTTCCATTTCACTCCAAAAAAAAAAAAATCTATTGCCTCTAATTGCTTTGCTTGGTGGTCAGTCTCCTTGTCCCTAACCAATGTGTGGGTAGCGGCTTTTGACCTCTGGCTCAGAGACTGGGATAGTTCCCTTCCCCATAATTGAGTGTTCTGCTTTAGAGATGCAACTTGAGCTATGTTCAGAAGCTGTCATCCAAAATGCAGAAGTTGGCCATCTGTAGAACTGACAGCACCGGCTGTGGTTTGTGAAAATCCAAATATTGGAGAAGTATGACTTTAGAAAAGTTATTAATATTTCCTTTGTCCACGTGCCATGAGGGAGAAGAAAAAAAGGCTCCCCCATGTGCCTGTGGAGAGAGCTTTCCTCCACCCTGACCCTTGTTTTCTATTCCTTCCTCTTCACTACCCCTTGAGCTGGGAGCATGTGGCCTGCAGAGGAACAGCCCTTGTCCTCTAGTGCCAGCTAGTATTTCAGGCACTCTACTTACCAGAGAACAAATTTTGTGTTGTGTTCTAGGAGAAAGAGTGGCCGTACTCCAGCAAGGAAAACAAGAATGTAAATCAAATGGGGAGATATTAGGACCATGCTACCAAAAGGCTCTGGAAGACTTGGTGCTGAAAAGAGAATGGGCAAAGTTTAGGTTGGATGCACATTGATTAGGGGGGAGTGTTCAAAAACCCTGATGCTCAGGTTGCAACCTGGACACCAGTTACATGACAGTATCTGAGATTGGGAGTCAGGCTTTTTTTTTTTCTTTTTTTCTTTTTTTAAGATCTTCAGATGAGTGGGGCCTTATGGCATATGCCTGTAATCCCAGTGGCTCAGGAGGCCAAGGCAGGAGGATCACGAGTTCAAAGTGAGCCTCAGTAATTTATTGAGCCTCTAAGCAACTCAGAGAGACCCTGTCTCTAAAATATTTAAAAGGGCTGGGGGTGTGGATCAGTGTTTAAGTGCCCCTGGGTTCAATCCTCGGTACCAAAAAAAGATCTGATTCCAATATGCAGCGAAGGTAGGAAGCACTGAGATATGTTTTCATTCTCCTGGATTGGGCCCTTGGCACTGGTAGTTTTAAAAGCTGCACAGGTGCTTCTGGCATGCAGAGGCTGGTCCAACAGATCATAAAGAGACAGCTGTCGCTACCCGCCATGTTCTTTCTCCATCTCCCTCACAGGATGCAGCATCTATTGAAGTTTGGGCAGATTTCAAGAGAGGTGGTGAGAGTGTCCATCAGGTACTGATGACTTAACATCCTTGTCGAGGAAATGCATTAGAAAAGAAACTCAAAACCTTCTCAGAACCGGAGTGAAGTCCTGTGACAGTACTCTCCACTGTGGGTCACAAAACTTTCAGGTCCCAGCCTGCTTAGAAGTCATCTCAAGCCCTCTGAGGGTGAATATGGTGTCCACGTGCATAGTGTAGCGAAGGTTGGGGACAGATGCCTTGGACTCCCACTAATCCTCCTTTGGAGGGCCTTAACTTTGAGGTTATTTCACAAGATTCTGAGAAACTTTTCCATTTCTTTATTTTTTCCCTTCTTTGTAGCATAAGTGGCTACACATAAAATGAACAAGGGGCCTGCGCAGTTCTCATCTTCCCTCCCTGAAAATTCGACCTCCTTCTTCCTGAGAATTCCATCCTTACAACTCTATCTTCCTTTTCGTCCCCCAGTTTCTCCAATCCTATTAGTCCATCAGATTTCTTTTGTTCTCGTTCCTGCATCGGGATTCGGCCTTCCTAGCCTGCAGAACTTCATCTCTGGCCAGGCTCTGCGGTGAACAGCGCTTATGAGGCCCTGAAAAGGCCTCCCTTCTTCTAGTCCTGTGCTTCGTCTTTGGTTTGTTTCCAAGGCATGTGAGCGTGAGTGATGGTGAGTGTTCAGATGATGGTTCATGTGATGATTCTCTGAAACTTGTTCTTCAGGGCTGAGGACCCTTGTGTGTGTTAGACAAGTGTTCAGCCACTGAGCTAAATCTCCAGCCCCCTACTTCTTAAAAAATTTAATTAACACATAATAATCATCTGAAGAGTTTATTGAGATACACAATATTTATTTATCTATTTATTTTTGCAATACTGGGGGTTGAACCCAGAGGTGCTCTACCACTGAGCTACATCCTCAGCCCTTTTAAAATTTTGAAACTCGTCCAGGGGCCTTTGAACTTGCCCAGATTAGTCTCAAACTTGTGATCTTCCTGCTTCGGTCTCCAAGAAGCTGGGATTATGGGCATGCACTACCACAACCAGCTATACAGTGTGGTTTTTTGATACAAATATGCAAATAATATGTAATGATCAAATTAGAGCAATTAATACAGTCATCTAATTTTTTTTTTATTGTTAAATCCAGACCTCTTTTGTTCTCGGCTCACATATTACTAGGAGAACTTTGATCGTGACAATCAGGATTTGCTGACTGTAGCATACAAGGCAGGGTCCTGATAACTTATCTGGGCAATATTCTACAGACAACATTGATGAAGAGCATTAATTGTCACGGGGACCTGGTGAGAAGGTTTGTTTCCCATCTAGAAAGGTAAAAATTTAGCACCATGGGAATCTGGAGAGGAAGATCAATTTTTTTTTTTTTTTTTTTAAGCAAAATGAATTGAAGAGAGATGCTGGTGGTTACTGCAAGTTTCAGTATTGATGCCCAGCATCTTCACAGATGCTCTGGAAGACTTAATTCATGCATAAACTACAAACATTGTATCATGACTGTAACCATGGATAAAGAAAGACTACACAGGTATCTAAAACTTTTTACTAGAGCAGGAACAAAATAATAAATACCAACTTCTACAAAATGTAACGACAATTATGTCTGAAAACTGGCCTTCTGTTAGGAGCTCTTGCTTCTATTTTCAGCTCGAACACTGACTCATCCTATGGCTTGAGACAAATCACTTAACGGCTTGGACCTCAGCTTCTCCATATGAAAAGTGGCAATTGAAATACTAGAGATAGAGGAACTAGCATTTATTGAGCAACTGTCCCATGTCCATCATGTACTAGATGCTTTATATTATGTTACAGTATTTCATACAGTCCTATGGCAAATATTTGTTGAATACCCACTAGGTACAGGATATTGTGTCTGGTATCAGGATATATCAGGGCAAAAACAAAGCCTTAGATTTTCTGGAGCTTAAATTTCTATGGGGTGGAGTGATAATAAACAAGAAAAGAAATATACAAGATTGTAACGAGCATTTGTAGATAATAAAAACAGATTTTTTTTAAAGAAAGAAACATGGGGATGGGGTTAGCTATGTAGGGTGTCTTCCAGGTGACACTTGAGACAGGACCTGAGTGAGGAGAGCATCTGGCAGAGACCAGAGTCCAGAAGACAAGATCTGAGGAAGAGAACTCCAGAGAGAGGAAGTGCTGAGGCGCTGATGCAAGGGGAGCTCAAACTACTTGGAAGGCCAGGTGACTGTGGAAGAGTGAAGGCTGGGAGTGGAGGAACTTACACTGGGGAGGGTGAGATTAGAGAGGTATGTAGGAATCAGACCACTGTAGCCTTTGAGGCTGCAGTAGGATGTTGGGGTTCATTCTTATTGATCTGATTTACAACTTAAAAAAATCCTTCTGGATAGATTAATAAATATGATATGGTTAGACAAGAATGAAAGAGAGGTAATCATAACAAGGCTATTGTTCCTCTAGGCCAGAGAAGCAAACTTCTGTGAAAGGTAAGAGAGTAAATATTTCAGGCTTTTTAGTCCATGTAAGGTATCTGTCACGTGTTCTCTTGCTCCTGCTCCTGCTCTTCTTCCTCATTTTTTAAAAATTTAAAAAAAAATAATAAAACCTTTAAAAACATAAAACACATTCTTAGCTCTTGGGCAATACAAAGCAGGAGGTTGCTGCTCGCTTGATTTGGCTTGCTTAGCGTGACAGTAGTTTGTGTTCTCCTTAGTTTAGAAAGGAGAAACTGATTAGCATCTATTTAGGACACAGAACTGATAGGACTTGCTGATAAACTGGTTGAGGGGTGGTGAAAGAAAGAGGAAGCATGAAGGGTCTCAGTGATTGGGTAGAAGATGGTGCTACTTACAGAGATGAGGAGGAAGCTGATTTAAGAGGGGTGGGAGGGAATCAAGAGTTTTAAGTATGAGTTGCCTATTAGTCCTCTAAGTGGAGTTGTCCAGTTGGGAGCTCAGTGTAGACGCTGGAGCCTAGGGGAGAGGTCAGGCTGGAGACCCACATTTTGAGCCTAATGATGCATTTAAAGTAAGGGCATTGGATGTCACTCAGAGTGCTGCACAAATGTTCAAGGACCAGGTCCCAGGGGAATCCAACAATTAAAGAGATCCTTGGAATTACCCTCTGGGTCAAAGAGCATGACACATGACAAATATTGCCAAATTGCCTTCCAAAGGGGTCTTTTGTATCTTCACAGAACCCATCTTGTCTTAGCTACGTAAACACACGCTGTGAGTAGGACTGTAAACACGAATGGGCAGGGACACTGGGGTTAGCAATCCTTGATGGCTTGTGCATGGTGCTGGGTAGCCTCAAGCCACACTGGAGGATTCAATTGGTTCCAGGAGGCAGCAGCAGAGGACCGAAGTGCTTCCAAGGACTCCCAGCCACAGATTTGCCCAGCAAGCTTGTGATAAGTGCCAATTTTTAATAAGAGCTTCTGATTCCCTCACTGTCTGGGTGAGGTATGTTTTAAACACGTTCCCTTTAATACAAAGGACAAGTTGAGAAACCTGTGGCTTAGGGAAAGACTGGGGTGGGTCCTCAAGATGTTTTTGGGAATCTTAGGTGGGTCTGGCTGGGGAAGTTTCAGGATGATGTGGTGACAGAGGACTGCTGGCCAGGAAGAACCATTTGCTTTGGCTGTGGGACGCTTTCCATTTGATCTCCAATTCCAGATGAGGCCTTCCATTCATACAGGTGTAAATGGTATTGTTTTAGTCAGCTTTTTCGCTGCTGTTATTTAAGAGCTCATGGTTCCAGAGGACTTAGTCCATAGAAGGCTAGTTCCATTTCTCAGGGCTCATGGTGAGGCTGAACATCATGGTGGGAGAATGTGGCAGAGAGAAGCAGCTCACAATTCTGTGAAGCTGGAATCAGGATGCAGAGAGACTCCACTAGTCAGATACAAATATATATACCCAAAGCCACACCCCCACTCCCACCTCCTCCAGCTACACCCCACCACTTCAAGTTACCACTCAGTTAATCCCTATCAGGGAATTAAATCACTAATTGGGGTGAGACTCTCACAACCCAATCATTTCTCCTTTGAACCTTCTTTCATTATCTCACATATGAACTTTTGTTTCACACCCAGACCATAATAGGTATCTTCCTTAAAGCAAGTACAGAGTTTAAAAATTTGGGTTCCCTAGAGGTCTTTATCCACCCTCTAACTCTACAGCATAAAGGAGATTTTGTTGTGGTTTTTCCTGGGTCTTTATATGGCAACAAGAACATACTTCTCAAAGAAAAAAAAAGATATGCATAAAGTTGGTAAAACAGAAATCATACCTATGCTTATGATAGATTATGGATTAAACAAATTTGTGTGGAAATAGCAAATGAATAATAAGAAGGAATCTGCTGTTAGGCCTTCAGCTAGGAGCCCAGGAACCAGTTTTGCTTTCATGGAACCATTATTTATTGAGCCTAAGTGCCAGGCCCTCTTTTAGGTTAAGAAGATAAACAGTGAACAAAATAGACAAAAACCCTTGCCCTCGCAAACAGATATTCAAATGAGGGAGACAGAACAGTAAACACCATCAATAAATAAAAGGTATGTTACACTAGATAGGGGTGAGAGCCAAGAGACAGACAAAGGACAGAAGGCAGAGACAGGAGGGCTGGGGGTCAGGGATAAGGTAGAAGAGAGGAGAAGAAAGGACTTGATGTAGCTCAGTGGTAGAGCGCTGGACTGGCATGTGTGAGACCCTGGATTCAGACTCCAGAAATGGGGGAGGGGTAGGCTTGAGAGCTAGGACATAGGAAAAGAACTTAGTTTTTTCATCTGTAAAATAAGGAATAAAAGTAGGGCACAGTGCTGCATGCCTGTAATCCCAGCTCCCCTCTAAATATAAAATAAAAAGGGCTGGGATGTAGCTGTAATAGAGCACCCCTGGGTTCAATCCCAGTACCAGGATGGTGGCGAGGGAAATAATGCCTTCCTGAGGAAGACACAGGTATTTGTCATGACTCAGTTAAAGGATTTTGGGTACTGACAAATATTATTTGAGCTGTTCTTAACTTTCTTCTGAAGTAGACCCTGATTTGAATTTTCATGTTTGTGCCTTGTCCAAGTTTAGCAAGAATCCTGCTAAGGGGCCAGGTATGGTGACACACACCAATATTCCCAGCAGCTCAGCAGGTTAAGGCAGGAGGATTGCAAGTTCAAAGCCAGCCTCAGCAATTTAGTGGGGCCCTGAACAACTTAGCAAGAGCCTGTCTCAAAAAAAAAAAAAAAAAGTGTGTGTGGGGGGTTGTAGCTCAGTGGCAGAGTGCTTGCCTCACACATGTGAGGCACTAGATTTGATCCTCAGCACCACATTAAAAAATTTAATAAACAAAGATATAAAAAAGGAGGGGGGCTGGAGATGTGGTTCAGTGGTTAAGCACCCCTGGGCTCAATCCCAGGTGCCCCCCCAAAAAAAAATCTTGCTAAGTCAGTTTAGCCAGAATCTCCTCTCACCCATGATTTGCCTCTTAGTAATTTTCCATCCACTGAGTCCCATTCTGATCCTTGGCTATAAATTCCTATTTTTCCTTGTTTTCAAAGTTGAGGCTGATGTCTCTCCTCCACTACAAAACCCCACTATATCAGTGCATGTGTATCAGTCTCCACGGTCCCCTTGAAAAAAAGAAACCCTGCTCTTCTATTCTATTAAGTTTCACAAATATTTTTTTCTTTAACTGTATAAGTTAAAGTCTTGGAACTTCAGTTTCTTCATCTGTAAAATGAGAAAACTTGTCCAGATTATTTCACAGTTGGTTTTGAAAATTTCAAATTAGATCATTAAGATATGTGAAAATATTTCAAAATGCATAGTCTATTATGTAAACATAAGATGAAAACACAAAACACACACAGGTATTTTATGGGTTGCAAACTTGCTAATGGTCAGCAGAGCCCTAGAACTTCAAGGAAAACAATAATTTAAATAACTGTACAGAATCCCTGCACTGACAGGGAAAAGGCCAATGCAAATTATCAGGATGTACTCTGTAGACTAGTACTCTTATCTTAGATCAGGGATAAAACAATCAAAACTAAATGTTCCTAAGTGGACACCCCATAAAATAATTATTATATGGCATTTGTCAAATTTTTAAATGTTTAACAGCTCCTTTATGTTCTTGTTTTGTTTGTGGGACTTCAGTTCCAGGAAAAGAACTAGGTGGATTGCAAGCACTTATAAACAAAACAAAACAATCATTTAAATTACCAAGGGCATATAGTTCACCTTTTGGGTATTTCTGCTGGTATGCAATACATATCAATCAAAGTAGATAATGACTACAATCAGAGGTTATTGTGTATTCCTTTTTCTTTTTACTTTTTTAAAGAGGTGGAGGTCTTTCTCTATTGCCCAGGCTAGCCTTGAACTCCTAGGTTTAAGAGATCCTCCTGTCTCAGCCACCAAAGTGGCACAACCTGTCCATGCAACTAGGTTGGGTTTGTTCTACTAGTTAATCATCATTTTATTCTTCAACTCTTAATATTTGATAGCATTTCAATAATGGTTTGTTAAATCAATAAACATGTTAGCATACATGCAGAGTAGTGTGTGGCACACAGTAGATACTCAATAATTATTTGTTAAAAAGAGTGCATGATTACTATGTGAATTTTCTCACTATAAAAACCTATTTGACGTACAAAAGGTGAGTCTGAAATACACAAATACTCTCCTCCCCTGACAAATCTGGTAAATTTTATGCCCATTTCTCAGAATGGTTCACACATGGTGTTTTATTGTTTAAATACTAAATAAAATTTTGGTTTGAATGTGCCTTAGCATAGTAAACGCTCAGTGTTTGCTAAAAAGTAATATACATACTCAGAAAGCCAAGCTGTTACTCCAGCTCAAACACCCCGCTCAGGGGCATGAACTGGACGCCTGCCAGCTCACACTTATCTGGTGATCTCTACACTTTCTTAGATTCTATCCTGCATTCGTTCCTAGCCAAATGAAAACCTTTTGAAAAAAATCTTTCCTCTCAAGTGCTTCAAGGTCCCAGCTGTCACCAGAGCATCAAGGAGCTGGGGGGTGGTGACAGCTTCATCCTCCGCCTCCTCCTGGCGCGCCCAGGGGGCGAGTGGGCGGGCTCAAGGAAGGGCCTTGTGGCTGTTCCCTATTGGAGCTTGGTTGCTATGGTGTCGCCGACCTTAAAACAGCTTCTTCCGGAGGTTAAAAGAGAATTACTTCCAGGTCTGCCCGTAGTTGCCATGGCCGACTTAGTTGTCACTAATCTCAACAAAAATAAAACCTTTGCAGTGGGCTTCTAGGAAATCTTATTTAACCATTTAAGCTCCTGATTATGACGTAGTATCACAGTGTTCCTCCCCTTTCAAAATATTTATTATATATTTTTCGATTATTAGCCAGTCTCCAAAATGGCGCCGATGGCATCTGTAGGTCAGAGGTGAGTCACGTGGCCCCTCCCGGTTCCGGCGTGGTAGAGGCCCCGGGTGGTGAACAAGTCTCCGGCACCATGTCTGGTTTGTCTGGCCCTGTAGCCCAGCGTGGCCCCCGCCTGTTGGCGTTGCTGTTGGCGTTCCTGCTCGGACCCAGCTCGGTCCTCGCCATCTCTTTCCATCTGCCCGTTAACTCCCGCAAGTGTCTCCGCGAGGAGATCCACAAGGACCTGCTAGTGACTGGCGCCTACGAGATCGCCGACCAGTCTGGGGGCGCTGGCGGCCTGCGCACCCACCTCAAGGTGCGCCACTGGGCGGTGCGGGGCTGGGGGGGAACCGGAGGCTTGGGCGAGGGGAGGCTTAGTCCCGGTAGTCCGGCCAGCGGAGGCCGGAGTTGACCTGGCCTTCCCCCGAGCGCGAAGGTCGCGCGGTGGGGACCGCCCCCTCACCCCGCTCGTTGGCGTTCGCGGGGCGGGGCCGGCGGCCGAGTCGGGAACCCTGGGGAGGCCGACGAGGCCTTGGCGGACGTGGTGGCTCTCGAGCTTGGGCGACCTCGACTTTGGGTCGTTTTCAGGACCCTGTACCTTTGGCTCTCAGGTACCTCGAGCCTTAGTTCGGTTCTGCAAAGAAGTCTGATGTCGGGGGTCTGTGGGGATTGGCATCGTACCTCCGGGAAAATACTGGAGACAATAAAGCTTGCCGTGATTAATAAAACTTGTTATTTATTGAGCATCTGCTGTGTCACTGCCTGTGCTGCTCTGCGTACGTTACCATAAGTTAGTGTGCACATCACCTTGCGAAGCAGGTGGATTCTGTTAGCCCTGTTTTACAAAGGAGGAAACTGAGACTCAAGTAGAATAAACCGGTGTTACAGATGGTATTGCTTCTTAGGTTGGTAGCCGAGTATGTTGGGAATGTGCTGCCATCTCCTCCCCTTGCTTTTAATCTATAAATCCTGGAATTTATTAAAGAGCATTATTGATCACAAAATGGTGTTTTTCCTTTGATAATGCTGGATGCCCAGACTCTGCTAAATCTCAACTGTGCTCCTGGGTCATGACAGTTACTTTCCATCTCATTTTGCAGTAAGAGTGGCCTGGACTGAATTTTGAATCTTTAATGTAGTTCCATATCAGTCAGGATTTGATTGTGTTTTAGGTAATTTTGCTCATTCACAATAAAAACAGTGGCGGTTTCTTTTTGACAGAATGGGGCTTTTCTTGGACAAAAAAGAAAAAAAAAAAGACCTTAAGCTATAACACCATATTGGAAGATACAGGATAATGTAATTTGTATTGTATTTGGAAGATATAAACTGTTTTCAGAACTACTGTTTTGTGACCCATCCTTTATTATTATTCCCTTTGGGAAGTAAACTTCTGTCTACCCAAGAAAGTAGTGATGGAAAAATTTTAGAGGCAAAAAGGGTTTTGGAGGTGGTGTTTCTGGCTCTTCAGAGGATACAGTTCATCAAATAATTTGAGCAGTGAAAGAGACCTTGCTGCCATCTCTGGTGTAACCTTCAATTTTTTTTTATTTTTATGTTTTTACACCTCTTCAATGGCTTGCTATTGCTCATCGAATAATTTGAATCTTCCAGTATGTTTTGTAGTGCTTTTCATTTTCTTTTTCTAAAGCTTTTTATATTGCCACTTCCCATGAAGCTACCCTGAACATTACCCTAAACTCATTGTTTTGCTATCTTTATTGTAACTACTCATGTTTATGTCTTGTTTTCCTTATTTAACTGTTAGTACTCTGTTGCAGGGATTACTTTCATGTTCATGTTTTCCAGAGGGCTAAATACATTGCCTTGCTTTTAGTAAGCATTCAATAAAAACGACCATAGTACAGCCTTGTGGGAATTATGTCTGGATCTAAGGCTGCAGAAGGGACCTCAGCAGCAGGACTTTGTGCAGCTGCACACTAGCATTTCACCACTTCTCTAATGTGTCAGTTGTGGTCTGTGGCTACTAACCAGTTTAACTGGACTACTGGGGTCCAAAACCTAAATGTCAAGTAGATAATATAAAGGAAGGAATTGGGCGGAAGGAAGGAAATCCAATAGCAGGGTGAAAAATGGAGAATAACAAGCACATGGGTGCTTTTGTCACATCATTTTTCAAAAAAAATGCAGAAACCTAGATTTTGATATGAAACTTTTGATTTAAATGTCACCAACTAATTCAAGTTAGTTTTAGCTTTGGTTTGCTTCCAGTGCTACAGTCTAGTAAGTCTACATTTATACTTCTTTTTTTTTAATACAATATCTTTATTTTTATGTGGTGCTGGGGATCGAACCCAGTGCCTCACAGATGCTAAGCGAGCATTCTACCACCTGAGCCACAACCCTAATCCCTTACATTTATACTTAACCAGATTCAGCAATTGTCAGGGTCCATACATATTTTATCTGCATTGCTTTCCCTTTATTATTTTATGTTAAATTACTTTAATTTTTTTTTAGTTATTGATAGATCTTTATTTTATTTATTGATGCGTGGTGCTGAGGATCGAACCTAGTGCCTCACACATGCCAGGCAAGTGCGCTACCGCTGAGCTAAAAACCCCAGCCCTTTATGTTAAATTATTTTAAAGTAAATCCCAGATATCATGGTATTTCAGTCCTGCATACTTCAGCATGAATCTCTTTAAAAATATGAACATAACCACAATATTATTATAATCACACCTCACAAAATGAACATTGAAACTGGGCACAGTGGTGTGTGTTTATAATCCCAGATACTTGGGAGACAGGCAGAAGGAGTGCAATTTAGTTTGGAGCTAGCTTGGGCAACATAGCAAGACCCTGTCTCTTCAAAAAGAACTAAGGCTGGGGCTGGGATTGTGGCTCAGTGGCAGAGCATTTGCCTAGCATGTGTGAGGCACTGTTTCCATTCTCAGCACCACATAGCAATTAAAAAAAAAAAAAAGAACTGAGGCTGAGGAGGATCACTTGAGCACTTGAGTCCACAAGTTCAAGACCAGCCTGGACAGGTTGCTCATTGAATAATTTGAATTTTCCAAAATGAAAGTGAGAACCCTTTCTCCAAAAAAAAAAAAAAAAAAACACCTTTTTAAAAAAATTTTTTTTGATGATTCCTTAATATTATCTAATACCTAGTACATAGTAACATTTTCCCACTTGTTTCAAAAAATATCTATTTAAAAAATTCCTTTGTAGCTCTGTGAGGTGGCAGCATGCCTGCAACACCAGCTACTTTCAAGGAAGGAGGATGGCAAGTTTTTGGCCAGCCTGGGCACCTTAGCAAGACTGTGTCTCAAAAAGGGCTGAGGATGTGGCTCAGTGATAAAGCACCCATGGATTCAATCCTTAGTACCAAAAAAGTATCTCAGGTCACTTATCTAGAGTAGTCTACTTTTCCCCCACCTCTTTTTTGAGGGGCAGGGGGAGTTACTAGGAATTGAACTCGGAGCTTGACCCCACTGAGCCACATCCCCAGCCCTATTTTGTGAGACAGGGTCTCAATGAGTTGCCTAGTACTTTTGCTTTTGCTGACGCTGGCTTTGAACTCTCAATCCTCCTGCTTCAGCCTCCTGAGTCGCTGGGATTACAGGTGTGTGCCACCACACCAGGTTTTTTTTTTTTTTTTTTAATAGAGCTTACAGTTTTATTGTTGGGAGGCAGTTGTCCTTAAAGAATGTTTCACCTTTTGGATTTGTCTTGTTTTCTTCCTTGATGTATCATTTAACTAATCCAGCCCCCTATATTTCTTATAAAAAATGTTATAAAGATGTAATCCCATTGTTTTTTTTTTCTTGGTAAGGGTACTTGTGGCTGGTGCTGTGTTTCTTGTGGCATTGCAATAGGAATACTCAGTACTTTTTGTGCCTCTTAGTGCTATAAACACAATCAGTAGATTGAGATGTATTTAAGTGGCCTCCTGCACCACAGATTGCCACAGTGTTAACAGACATTTATCTTAAGAGATTGAAGTCAGAATTCCTAGTATCAAGTTGTTAATAAGGCTGTGTTCCTTCTGGAGAATCACTTTCCTTGCCTTGTCCAGCTTCTTGAGGCCATCTATACATTCTTTGGCTCTTGGTTCACCGTGTCTCTTTCTTCAAAGCCATTAGCATAGTGTCTTTCCCTGTTCTGTCCCTCTCTTTTTCCTCCTTTTGAAGCCTCCCTCCCTTCCTCCTTCCCTCTTCCCCACTTCCATCATCTCATTTTCCCTCTCTTGCCTTGCTCTTTCTCTTATAAGGACCCTCATGATAACCCCCCATCTCAAAACCCTTAATTTAATCATATCTGCAAAATCTGGTTTCATATAAAATAACATTTTCACAGGTTCTGGAGATTAGGATGTCAGCATCTTGGAGGGGATCATTTTTCTGCCTGTCTAGGTGGTAACAGCCTGAAGCCTCCATTGTAAAGGTTTTTTTGGGGGGTGGGCAGTACTGGGGATTGAACTCAGGGGATCTCAACCACTGAGCCACACCCCAAGCCCTATTTTGTATTTCATTTAGAGACAGGGTTTAACTGAGTTGCTTAGGGCCTAGCTTTTGCTGAGGCTGGCTTTTGTTATCCTCCTGCCTCAGCTTCCGGAGCTGCTGGGATTACAGGCGTGTACCACTATGAGTTTGCTATTAATCTTTCACTTAGAACCCATTAATGACTAGTATGAATCTATTCATTAAGGTTGTGAAATGATGATTTTTCTAATTCTGATATTTCTAAGGAATTCATGAATTAAGACCATTTGATTATCTACATATGGTTTAAAACATTTTCCCTCGTAAGTTCCAGTGTGAGTGTGAATCAATGAGGGATTTGGGTTTGTTTTCTTACCTTTTTTTTTTTTTTAAGTATATTGCTGAACTCTTTTTATTGTTTCGATTTTTAGAGTCTATGTTTTATTCAGTTTGCATCTGTAAAAAAAATTGTTCCTTTAGCCCCTTCATATTGGCTTCTTTATCCTTTTGATACAATCCTATTAGTTTTGATAACTTCTTCATTTTCTCGCACCACAAGATGTCCTATCTTTTTTTGTTTGGTTATACTGGGGATTGAACCCAGGGCCTGACTCTACTACTACTTAGCCATATCCCTTTTAGATTTTATTCTGAGCCAGGGTCTCACTAAGTTACCCACAGTATCCTTGAACTTGGGATCCTCCTGCTTCAGCCTCTTGGTAGCTGGGATTACAGGCATTTACCACACCCAGCCCCTAGCCTTATCTTACATTTGTCATCCCCAGACTTTAGAAGAGTATTGTTCCCTCAGTGAGTCCTGGTTCTTTTTTATAGGAAATGGTATTTAGATTGGATGTCATTT